TGGTTGTTAATTAAATGTGCTAACAACTTAAGACACTCCACAGATACAAATCCAGCTGTGGGCAAGTGCAGGACACAGGGTAGAATGGGAAAAAAACACCCACACTTCATTTCCTCCATAAATTACCAAGACACCCACCAGACAAACATGGCTGCCAACAAGATCCTCAGCAGTAAGAGTCAAAGCTTTTTGCGACCTGTGGGGTTTTACAGCTTGTATACTGGTATTGTGTCAGGTTCTCAGGGTCAGCAAGGGGCCAGACAGCAGATAAGGGTTGAGCAAATAAACTATACACCCTGCCACCTTATGGTTTTACTATCCTGTGATGGATTAACATAAAGTAGACCGCTCACTGTAAGGATCCTCCTTTCTGTTTCGGTTTGCCTAACAAGCACATCTCCCTCTGCACGTGTACTTACATATCTTACATTTGGTGACACATTTTCAACAATATTTGGATGAATTACAGAAAATAGTGGATAATAACATCAATTTTAATGTATTACGGTTCAAATGAAATATAGGCACATCTGGCTCTGACACCTTCAGATGGCTCCAATAATTAGCTTCCCCACTTCATCCTCATTATACCAGCACCACCAAAACACTTTGCTCTCATTAGGGCAGAGCCATTGTCCGTCAGCAGTTAGCAACCATTTTGCCTTCCCTATTACAACACAAAGAAAGGGGAGGTAAAACAGTTTACCCACAAATCTCCCTCTGTGTGCCCACTGGTACACTCCATGTATTCAGGCGGGGAAGTAAAGACCATCTGCTCATTTTATACAACTCATTCTCAAAACACATTCACAGATTCTATTGCCGTCCGCCAGCAGATTATTTGACCAAACAGCCACCAAAACTCCCTCCAAAACACATCTCAAAGAAGGCCAAGGTTGATCAAGCCACGTCTGTGGAAGGTGGCCATTGCTTTGAATGTGAATGTGTGAGTCTTTGCTCCTCGTCTCCTACTGGCGTGAGATGAATGGCGTCGACCAAGGGAGAAGTTGGACCGTGCGCGAGCTGAGGCATTACAGCCACAGGAGTAGCCACTGGTTATAAAGATGGGCAGCTGCTTTCCGCTCCTCCCACAGTCAGGCATGAATGGGTCAATATATATACACAGTTAATGAGCCAGCATGCCAAAGCAGCTAAAATCTATCTTTGAATCACATAATTAGTAAACATCATCCTCGTTTTTATGGGATTCGCCCCATATTGCTCCCCTCTATCCTGTCCCTCTCAGGCAGAAGTTAGATTCAGGGACTGTGGGAGTTCACGCTGCAGCAGACGCTTCTACAGTTATGACTTCTTAGGGCAGTTTCACACTTTGGCCTGTCTGACGGCACACCATGTGGGGCCAAACAAGCACACATTAATCTGCACTTTATATGAATATTCAGATACAGCTGTCTGTGACGCAGAGATAGCAGCTGGTGTGCTTGGGCCCCACAGATATCCCAGTGCCATGCCTGGACAGAAGCCGCTGCATCTGGGCCAAGACAGGCCCAGCCGTCCCTGGCAGGCCCATCCAGGCACAGAATCTCCCCAAATCCCACCAGTGACGCCCTCTACACAAGGGTGGTGAAAGACTCAATGAACACTTTAGCAGCCGGCAGCAGATACGCGATGACACTTTCAGTATGTCACTACAATGGCGATGAAAAAGCTGGATATACGGTACTAAAAACGACAGTCTGAAAGGGCTCTGAATTTAAATATCAAGTATGCCACCTTAGATTCAAGATTGTTAGATCAGTACATAATAAAATAAGCCAAAAGTTAGTTGAGCCCAGTATCCATGTTAAGCATTTAACATGAATCCCGTTTTAAAGGTTTTACAAAAAAAGTGGCATCAGAGAACTTCCTACATCATTATATCAGGCTAAGAGTTCTGTAAATCCACGAAATGCATATTGTCGATCAGTAATATGTAGGCATTAAAACAGATGGCTACGGAAGCCGAGAACAGCCATG